TTGTTTCAGCTTCTCTCTAACTTGTCTAAGCATTTTAAATATTTCAGTTATTTCTGGGTGAGAACAATCTCCAGCCAGAAACGAATGGGTGATGTTATCGATGACAACCGAACTGTAACCAGGTGTTTTCTGAATTCCTTTCTCGTTCATCAATTCTCGAACTTTTTTCACTTCATTCCACATTTTCCTTCTTGCATAAATGTTTGATAGCAAAATGTAAACTCCATCATTTGTTGGTTCCAGTTCTAGCAGGCATCTCGCAGATTCCTCGCCGAGCTCAAGATCATTGTATACTCTGCAAGCACCGAGCATAGCGCCCCATATTGCACCATTTGGTTGTAAAGGCATTGCTTGGATAAATTCCCGAGCTTCGACCAGATGTCCCGCTCTGCATAAAAGATCTACCATGCACCCGTAATGCTCCAACTTGGGTCTTATTCCATATAATGCTTCCATTTCATGGAATAGCTTCTTGCCCTCTTGAACTAATCCTGCGTGGCTGCAGGCAGTCAGTAACCCAATGAAAGTTATTTCATCTGGCTGCAAGTCTGTCATCTGCATTAGGCGCAACCGAGTGAGAGCCTCCCTGCCGAGGCCGTGTAGAGCGAGACCGTTCACCAAAGAATTCCAAGAGATCAAATCTCTTTTTGACATGCTATCAAAGATTCTCTTGGCAGCATCTATTTCTCCACACTTTGAGTACATGTCGATCAATGCGTTACTCAAACTAACTGAACAATCCTGTTCGGTCCTCGTAATATAGTCATGAATCCATCTTCCTGTTTCTAAGTCACCCAATTGAGCACATGCGGAAACAACGGCTAAAATCGTGACTTCATTTGGATGCACGTTTGAGGCGCCAACCATTTCCCTGAATAGCTGCAAAGCCTCCGTGCTTCTATTGTTCTTGACATAACCAAAAATCAAAGCCGAGAAGGTATATACATTTCTCTCAGACATATTATCAAACACTTGCCTTGCAGTTTTTAGATCCCCACATTTAGCATACATATCAACCAAAGCACTTCCTAGAACAGCACAAATCTTCATACCCATCTCCTGAATTCGAGAATGCAGCTTCATTCCAACACCCAAATCTTTCAACTCAGCCGAAGCCGATACGAGCGTTGCCATGGTAACTTCATCAGGGCTAAACCCATCTTCCACCATTTTCTCATACATAACCAAAGCCTCCTTAGGACAATGGTTTCTCGTATAGCCACTAATCATAGAAGTCCACACCACTTTGTTTCTATGACCCATTTTCTCAAACAAGAACCTCGCAGAGTTCAAATCCCCACAGGAGGCATACATATTTAACAATGTGGTTTCTATGTACAGGTCTGAACCAAGCCTATTCTTGACGATCTGGCCATGTAGAACCTTCCCAACTTTGAACTCCAATGAAAGGGCGCAACCCTTTAGCAGAGAAGGAAATGTGAATCTATCAGGAACAATCCTTGACCATTGAAGCATCTCAATGTAACTTCGGAGCGCCCTTCTCGGCATGTCGGAATTCACAAAGCCTCTCAACATGGTATTCCAAGTAAGTATATCCAACTCTAGAGTGTGAGTAAAAACCGAATAAGCATAGGCGACTCCGAGCGAGCCCATCGAGAGGACATGGGCAATGAGCTTGTTGAGTGATGGGGTATGGTGGATGAAGCCTGTAACGACCATCTGTGCATGAAGTTGCTGAAATTCTTTGAGCTCTGTCCATTTTTTGCTGTTCTCTAAGAGGGGAAATGGTTTTTGGTTGAATTTGAGACTGGGTTTCGGAGTGGTGGGTAGGTTTGAAGGGATTTTGATTACAAATAATTTCTGGGTCAAAATCATTAGGCTTTGTTCTGGTTTTGGTTTTGAATTTTGTTTGCTTTGGGGTTTTAACAATCTGTTGGCTAAGATAAGGTTGCCATTTGGACCATTCAATTGGGAAGAGATAAGAGGAGAACATGAATTGACTAATGGATGAGTTGAGATCCAACTTGTTCATTACTCAAATTTCAACTCATTGTTGATTTAATGTTATGATTAGGTTCACAGATTGCCGACCATTAAGTGATGAAAGTTGGATACTATAATTTGAACAATTTTTTTTTTCTTTTCTTTTCATTATTATTATTTTCTTTTTTAGTTTTTATTGTATTAGGTGATTTTCGATTTGGTCATCTAATTTGGTTTGAATGTTCTAGATTATATTAATTTCTGTTTGAAAAAAAATAATAAAAAATATCTGAATAATGGTCTTCACTAATTTTATAAATATGAGAGGATCCTACCCTGCCCAACCCCAACTACATGTTCATAATAGATATCTCGGTATTTAATTTATTTTCACGAAACTATATTTGTATTGTAAATTTCTTTTTTCTTTGTAGTTCGATTTGAATTTTTGTTTTCTTGATTGAAAATACATCTTTTAATCTGTTTGAATTATGTTTATGTTGGCCAAACTTTTAAGTTGTGAGTCGGCGAGCGATAGTTTATGAAAACTAACGTAATAGCTCAAGTCCATTGCTAGCAAATATTGTCATTCTTTGAGGTTTTTCTTTCAAGCTTCTCCTCAAGGATTTTAAATCGCATCTGTTAGAGAGAGGTTTTCACACCCTTGTAAAGAATGTTTTGTTCTCCTCTCTAACCGATATTGGATCTCACAATCCACTCTTCTCCTTTGAGGCTCAGCGTTCTCGCTGATACTCGTTCTTCTCTCCAATCAATGTGGGATCTAACAATTCACTCCCATTTGAAGCCCAATGTCTCCCCTAGCACACTGTCCGATGTCCACCCCTATTTGAGACTTAGCGTCCTTGTTGACACACTGTCTAGTGTTTAGCTCTAATACCATTTGTAACAGTTAAAACCCATGCTAGTAGATATTGTCCTCTTTGGGTTTTTCTTTTCGAGCTTCCTCAAGGTTTTCAAAACGCGAATGCTCAAGAGAGGTTTTCACACTTTTATAAAAAATGTTTTGTTCCCTCTCCAACCGATGATATCGAACAACTAACTTCCATCATCAAGGGTAGAATTGGGAGTCATACAACCAGAACTCACAGTTTGGTGAGAAATTTTCAGCCAAACTTCGTCAGAAAGACTTTTCTTCTTCCCCTTTTTGGCCCCAAAAACCAAATCAAGAGTCTCTCCCTCTTCCATCTGCAACTAACAGCCAACCTCTCTGTTAAGTAAGGCCAAAGGAAGAGGTAGTTTCAAAGAATAACTGAAGGACTTATGGTCAAAGGAAGAGGTTAATTCATAATTATTTAAAGAACAAGAACGAACAAGTAACCATCTTATTCTAGAATAATTTCGAACAAACCTATGTGGTAATGACCTGGAATAGACACTATTTCAACCTCCATAGCCACCGCTACATTGAAGGTAAGATTTAAACGTTTATAAAGGATCAAATGTATATACCAATTATTAAAAGTTTTGAGTATATTTTAATTAAAGGGCAAAGTTTGAAGAGCAATTTGTTTTCCTTTTTGTGTACTTTACCCTAAATTAACTCCAATGAGGAAGGTGACTTCAAGTCGTTGGGTTAAATGGATTGGGTTGGGAGGGTAATTAATGTGTTCTTGCTTCCAACATAAGCATTTGAATTATTATGCATACAAAAGAAAATGAAAAAAATAAAATAAAAAAAAAAGGTGATGAAGTGGGGTTTGACTATTTTTGGAGGTAAAATGAGTAGAATTGCATAAAAAGATGGACCCAAACTGTAAAAAGTGGAGAATAATGAAAGTGCATTCCTCCTGTTTATGCAAAAGTCTTCAATAAGGCTACAATAAAACATCATGGGAAAAAGAATTTTATTGTTATTATTTTTAAATCCACCAAATCTCCGCTGCTTTCAAATTTTATTTAGATATTATTTCTTCAATTTCCACGAAATAAAAGATCCGTTGGTCAAATATTTTTTTATTTTTTTTAGATAATTTAATTTTGTATTTAATAAATCTATAAATTTTTATTATCTTTTGAATAACCTTTTAGATCAATTAGATAATTTTTTAAAATGAAAATTTATTTACTTTGGTAAATTATTGGAAATTGTAATTATTAGTTCAATGCATAATCATGTATAGGTTTGAATCAAATTTCTTTTAGAGCTTTTTTTTTTTTTTTTTTTTTTTTTTTTTTTTTTTTTTTTTTTTTTTTTTTTTTTT